TGTGGGCCGTCGTAGCTGCACGGCTGAGTGCAGAGCGCCTCGACTCAACCTTCCACTCACGACTCTGCAATCAGGCGATGCATGTGAGCAGCGGCCACTCTACCCGACTTCCATCAACATTACAACGGCATATCAACGGCATGGCTCCACAACATTTTCTCCGCCAGATCATCAAGTATTTCAGCTGCCGTATCTTCCACGTCTCTCCGCTCCGGTACCAGCAGTCACGTAGTGTTTACTGGAGTGGATTAGGTTAACGCGAGATACGGGCTGATGACTGCGCATGAGGTCTGTTATGACAGTATCCACAGTCCTGCGCAGTAACGTTATCCTATATTATCATATACTTTAGTTATTTTAGCCTGATATATGATTGTAACTTTACAATGTTGGTTGCATGGACTGTATCTAGCTAACATTAACTGTAGCGTAACGCGGTCACGCCACGGTCAAAGGACACTGCCCTGTTCTCGCTGGTTCTCCACAGCAACAAAGCCCATTTGCCTCCGATGGCCCGTTAATCTTTTTCAATCCTTGGCGCTTCTGTCTCTTGGCGGCCGAGGCAGGCTCATAATTATAATCATAGTCATGCATTCAATAATAATTTTCCAACTCCTTCTGTGTCAAAACTGGCATTGGACCATGTTATCATCACGTTAACGGCCGCTCCTCCCCCATGTTAAGTCACACGTGGGAGGTCACGTGCGGAGGCCATTTTTATGGGAAGTGAAATGTCTTACTAAACAAGACGCCCGATGTCACTGTAGTGTATATTTGATATTTTGTTGAAGATTCGAAGTGTATTCACTCATTTTCCTACACATTGTATCTCACTGGTGTCCTAACCTACAGTTGCTCTTATCTAGAAGTTCTATCTTAAACAAATATTTAATTATTTTCTCCACGCAGTTGAGTCATTTTCTCATGTCAGCCCGATCAGGAGCATACGTGCTTTTTCCATGTTTCTTGCACATTTTAAAGCATGGTTTTTGCTGATCACTGAGATGTCGCCACATAAAATTATTAAAAAACGATGATAATGAGCAGTCAACTGAAAGTGGAAAAATCATTAGGAGTTGTATTGTACTGGTCTTTTTTTAAATGTGTCCTACTAAGGATTGTATTGGGATTATTGCACCAGTTGCTCCGACAGATCGTCTTGCCTCCATGTACGATTATTTAGTACGACTTTTGACCACATAAACAACATCGGCAAATCCGGCTTACTTTGAGCATGTGTTTTAACAGTTTAATCCCTTGGAATGTTGCCACTTCCGCCGTCCCCTTGTAAGTTTCTCATCAGCGGGAATCTAAATGAATAATCCAGAGTCATAAAACCATTTCAAAGTCACTCAAGTAGTGCCTCATTAATTATGCTGTTCTCCTCCTTTAACAAAATACTTGCACATTCATCTGCGCAGTTGGACAGGTAGTTGACGGCATTTTTTAGACGTTTAAACTTGAATACTGCTGTTGCCCTCCCTTGTGTGTGTGTGTGTGGTGTGGGCCAACCTCGAACAGAGTCATGGGCCCTTGGGAAAAAAGTTGGGACCCCTGGCTGGAGGACAGATTAGTACGGTTCATCCCACTCAGTTTCACCCCGTCGGCTGTTGGTTTAAAGACAGAAATATGCAGCCAAAGCTTTCCGAACAAACAGGCAGGGCGCCCACTGGGGGGCCCTCCAAGAGCTCCACACCCCATACTTTAAGTCGTTCGGGGACTTGAACCGCACCGTACAGCTGCCAGTCCCAACCCCCTATTGACTGGCCAGCGCTGTTGGTTGCGGAAACTTTGGCTGATATTTCTGTCTTTACCACCAACAGCGAGTGAAACTGAGGATGAACCGTACATCTGTCCTCCAGACCAGGGGTTGCCCAACCGTTTTTCCGCAAAGAGCCCCCCAAATGACTGCGCTGTTGAGGTTGCGCCCCCCCCGCACACACAGCACACACACACAAGGGGGGGGGGAGGCACCAGGCAGTAATCAGTTAAAGTCTAAAAAATGCTACATACTGCAACAAACTGGATGAATGTGAGTATTTTGTAAAGGAGGATGAAAGCATAATTAATGAGCACTATTGAGTGACTTTGATGGTTTTATGACCTGGATTAATCAATTTAGATCCCGCGTGCTATGAAGAAATTAAGGACGGCGGAAGTGGAAACAATTCACAAGGATTAACTGTTAAGAAACAACATGGCTCAAGGTAAGCCGGATTTTTGCCGATGTGGTTAGGGATCAAGTCCGAATAATCTACAAGGAGGAGACCGATCTGTCGGAGCAAATGTTGACAAATAATCCAATAAACCTAGTAGGACAACATTAAAAGAAGATACATACAAAACAACTCCTAAAATGATTTTTTCCACTTTCATGAACGGTCAGTATTCCATCGTTTTAAAGTTATGTGGACATCTCAGTGATGCAGCAAAACATAGACCTTTAAAATGTTCAGAAACATGGAAAAAGCACGTAGCTCCGATACGGGATGACCTGAGAAAATGACCTCAATCTGGGAAAATTAAAAAAATTTGTTTAAGATAAGAACTCTAGATGAAAGAGCACTAGATAGGTAGAGACACGCAGTGACAAAATGTGTATGGAAAATGAGAGAATACACTAGATTTCCAAAAAATATACAGAATATACACTACAGCGACATCTGGCGTCGTTTTAGAGACATTTTCAGCTTCCGCATAAAAATGGCCTCCGCACGTTGACCCTCGCCACGTGGACTAACATGGGGGAGAGGCGGGTGTGGGCCGGTCTAACGTAGAATAAACATGGCCACAATGCCAGTTTTTGAGCACAGAAGAGGTGAAAGAATATACGATTGAATGGCATATGATTATAATTAGAGCGCTGCTAGGCGTCCAGAGACGCAGAAGCAGCCCAAGGATAGAAAGAAATACGGCCATCGGAGAGAAATGGAGCTTTGTTGTGGGAGAACCAGCGAGACGGGAGCTGTCTGGTGAGGTGAGGGTTAGCACAGTTTTAATGTTAGCTAACGTCAGCACCATCACAACATGTAAAGTAGGCATCATATATCAGGCTATACACAAAGTAGTATTGATAAAAGGTAACGTTAGCTGCAGGACTGTGATACTGATCCATAACGAAAGCAAGCGAAGTAACAGCCGTATATCTTCGCGTACCTAAATGCAACCCACACTACGGTGGGCTGGTACGCGAGGGGAGAGCGTGAGATACCGGCCTGATAGCGTGATGATCTGGCGGAGAAATGTTGTGGAGCCTCCGTTGATATGTCCGTTGTGAATGGCTTGATGAAGTCGGGGAGGGTGCAACAGCTGATTGCCGAAGGTGATGGAGGGGAGCCCGGGAGCCAGGAGTGACCAGGCACGACCCCACCAAAACAACACAAACAGGGGGAATCCAAACCAACACAAAGGAGACGGCTGGAGCAGTAGCAGGCCACCCACACGTTACCTAATGCAACACCAAATACGATCTACGGGTGCTGTGTACCCGGAGAGAGAGAGCCGCGAGGGGAGGGGAGAGAGATGTAATACGGTTCCTGATAAAGCTGTGAGAGTATGTGATGCAGGGAGGTGGATGCAAACGCATCCCCCCCAGGAACGAACGCTAGCTCGGCAGTCTTGGACTCGATGTGCCTGACAGGCGGAGTTTGTAGCAACCGCACAAACACAAGCTCACCATGATTACAAATGGTGAAAGGGGCAATGTAAAATAGCCGAAAAATACCAGCTGCCACTAAATCAGCAACGCGCCAAACGCAACACAAACACTACGCGCCGGATTGGCCCCAGAGACGAGTCCGAGAAAGGTTGCTCCCCATGTGACGAATAAGCGTTGACGATGAGCGTTAAAAAAAGCAGTTTTTAAGTAAGGCAGAGGCTCAAACGGCTCCTTTTCCTCTGAATTCCTGCCCTTATGTCTTGTAAAACATATCAAATCCTGCATTAACATTTTTAATTGTAATTTTCGGGCAAGGTTAAAAACCCTGCAAGTTGCTCTTTAAGTCTAATACAATAGAATGCAAGCTTTTATGATCTAACGGCAGAGGTGGAAAAATTACTTGTGGTAATATAGCAGAGTTCAGTAATAATCTGTTACAAGTAAAAGTCCTGTAATCAAAAAGTTACTCAAGTAAAAGTACAAAAGTATTAGCACCAAAATATACTAGACTAAGTACCAAAAGTAAAAGTACTCATTATGCAGATTGGTCAATTCCAGAATAATATATGATATGTTTTGATTATAATTATTGATGCATTAAAGTGTTATCAAAGCTGGTAAAGGTGCAGCTAGTTTGAATGACTTTGTATACTGTAGGGTAGCTTCTGAATTTACTCCAGGTGTAAATAAAGTCTTATTTAAGTGTTAATTACATTTCAAATTATGAATCCAAATCTGTAAAGTAAAGTCATTAAATAAATGAAGTGGAGTAAAAGTACATGATTTACATCATAATTGTAGTGGAGTAAAAGTTCAGAGTATCATAAAATGGTACTTCCCACCTCTTTTTAATGGCCATGTTTTGGTGACCTAGCGAGCCGATTTTCGGTGTCGATAGATGTCGGGCCGTCGATGAGCGTCGTTTCGCCCAACTCAGATTGGTGTGTACTGCATCGTCGTGTCTTTTCGGCCGTGCCGACACTTTCCGCCGCCGATTCGACATGTTGAATCGCTAGGCTGTCAGCCAAAGGCCCTCGGTCAAAGAAATCCCTCTGATTGGCTGTTCAGCTTAGCGAATCAGTGCATGAGAAGTGAAACGGACGTGAGGGACCCAAACAAACTATTAAGAAGGCAAATCTGAGATTTTTTACTATTTTAGCTCTCTCGACACAGGTTCGGGAAAGCCTGAAAATGGAACGCACACGCTATTTGATGTTTTTTTATATCACGCAGTCTGTTCTTCTTCTCTCG